CTGATGTCGTGAACTCGTCTGACTCAGACAACGTCCTGCTGCATATGTGAAAGGCAAAGTCTTTACATGTGAAAGCAGCTTATGTAACGTGCAAACACAAGTCGCTTCAAACTGCCCCGAACCGCCTCAGCATCAGCCTGACCTGCACTGTAACTACGGCTAAAATCCATATTTGCAGCAAATCCAGTAAATGAGTCAACATCAGGCTGGAAACCAAAGCATTTCTCACTATTCTGTGTAAACAAATTAAAATATGACTCGAGGAAAATTCTGCCGTCTGGCTGTTCTGAACAAGTTTAATATTGTTGGCTCTTATCAGCTCACACTGTTTATTGGCTCTCCAGCCGGAGTTTAGGGCTCATTGAGGCCACTCCGCTGGCTGCAGACATTTGTTCCTGGTGGAAATTTACCCAGATGAGTTCTCAGAGTGAGTCTGAGCTCACTGGTCAGAAATTACCCTGGAAACGGAGTCTGAGAGTAACAGCAGCGCTTTTTCTAAAGCTGCTCCTGCCCTGCGAACCTCAACAGGGACTCACCCACAAGTAGAAAAGACAACTTTGTGCAACTTCATGTTGTGAAATCGGTTGGCAATAGAACAGCTTGTAACCAGGTCAAGTTGGCAGCTTGTGTCTCATGGGATAATCCAACAATAGACATGGTTTGTGCAAATTTGAGGGTTTTCTGATGCTCGTAGACCAAAAGCATCTGAACCTTCACAGAATCTTTAACTCAGATTTCTATTCTACGCCATTTAAACTCATCAATGTTTTGCTATATTTGCCTTGTTTTTGTTATTTCAGTTTTAGTATCTCTGTCATCTGTGTAAAGTTCCGGTCTTACCCACTAACGTGCATGCTCTCACGTCCAGATTTGCACTGTGGATGTGGGTGAAGGACGGACATGCTTCAGTAGGACACTCACTCTAATTTTAAATCCACACAGTGTGATGATTAACAGCTGGACGGTCGACTTGGACCAGTTACAGAAAGTTATGCTTCGGAACATTAAACATATATTTAATGTATTTAAGTATAGATGTTTTGATATTAGTCGGTCAATCGCAATGACTAAGACAGATTTAATGAAGAAACTGCGTGTCATGGTAGTAATACGTATTGTCATGACTTTGCAGAAAGTCGAGTGGTCACCTCATTCACTGCATTGACACACGCGTTCCTCTCCATGTAGGGTGACGAGGGTCCCTGTCCAATGTGATTACGCGGGAGCACGGTAGCTTCCTGTGAGCCGACGAGGTGGCTCAGATATCAGCAGCTGAACCACTCCCGCTGCCCCACTGACCTCAAGTGCCACCGTGATATCAGACACTTTTAGTCACGGGTGGGAGGCAGGGAGGTCGTGGGAGGGGGGGGACATTGTCATATATACTGACATCATCCCTGGTGAATTTCACGTCCCTCCAGTAATTGAATCTCTGCTGCAGTGGCGAAGGCAGAAAAGGAGAGCGACATAGGGAGAAGGTCCAACTCCAACCCGGACGAATGGACATGGATGAATGACGGTGTTGTGTCCGTGGGATAAATCTTAGACTGAAACAATATGGAAATCATGTTTAAGTTGAAGTTGAAAGAACACAAAGACCCAAAGCTGCTCCTGTGTATTATGTGTGCACGGTTCTCTTGTTCAGGCCTCACTACATAACACTGCATCAACTTTAAATATCCAAAAAGCCAAACATTGTGAGCAAATCCAGAGATAGTTGGCACAAGTTTTTTTCAGTATCTGAGATGTTCTTATTCTTTCCTTGTTAGTGATTGCACAACCTTTTAGATTTGTTTATTGGCCCCGGTGGGTCAGGACTCTATCCTGATCCCCCCTAAGAGTTTTAAAGTCTTTACCGAGAAAGGTCACGATCTTACATTGCATGAGAAAAAGGAGGTTTTATGGGGCAGTTTACTCAAAGAGTTTCTCAGTTTACAACTGGAGGAGCTGCAAGCTGTTTGTAAGTTGTCCCACACCCATGTAATGACATTTAAAATCAGGCGTATTTAATTTTAAAATGCCAAAAATCTGTATCCAGTCATTGTTCTTCAGCTTGGTATTTTAATATTTTTGTGAGACCGTCTGAAATACTGTGTAAACAAACTAAAATAGAGTCATTGCAGGAACAAACCAGTAAAGACCTCTGTGAATGTTTACTGCTCCCCACCCAGAGTCCACGTCTCCCCCTCCTCACCCCTCCTCTCCCCTCAGACCTCCAGACATTCCCATGCCCCGGGTTTGTTGATTTTCTGTTGATGTTGGCGTTCTTCTGCAGAGCCGGGGCCGAGACGGGCTGGTCGAGGCCGCTCGTGGCCGGTTCAAGCCTCCGCTGCCCTCCTTGTCTCATCAGTCTCCTCCTTCCTCGTCTACCTGTGAGCACTGTGTCTGTTATCTGGTGCTTCTTCATCACGTCTTGTTTATAGAAAAACCTGTGCACGCATTGCTCTCAGTGATTACATCAATCCTGAGGTGCAGGGAGGGAAGTCTGATCACGGCTGTAATCTACATACCATGCAAATCAGCTGATTCGGTTGAGTGTAGTAAATAGAATGTCTGAGGGCAAAGGACGACAGACTGTCTTTATTTTTCCCTCTGCTGCTTTTCCTTCCTTTACTTTTTTTAAGTCAAATCAAATCAAAACAATGTAATAAACAAAATACATGGGCTCACATTTGGTTTTTGGGCATTTGAAATAAGTTTGAGGAAATAAACTTTATTTTGATTATTCCTGCTTTAGTTTGCATGATTCTCAAAAAAAACAAAACAAGACCTGGTGCAAAACTAGTATCTGCATGGACTGTGTAATTGAAGGAGACGTCTCGGTCATGGAGAGTTTCAGACTATAGAGTATCTCTGCTGCTGTGCTGCTGACAACTTTATCCACTGGTAGTTTTCAGTTTATACGTGTTCCTGCGACAGCCCCGCATAAAAAATGTAATAGAGACACTGTGTCATGTTGGTAATATGTGGTTCAAGTGCAAAATTTCACGTGTCAGTGTTTTGTGATAATATAGAGTCAGTGACTCAGGCGCTGACAAAGTCTTTTAACGGTTCTTACCTTGGCACAAACTTCTTGCAACTGAAATCATGAACCATGAACGAGGCTCCACACTTTACAATGTTTGTGATCCTACTTTAAACGCATCAAAAAACGACAGATGTTATAAATCTTCATAATGAGAATGTATCAGATCTGACTCCAGATCTGCTGAATGTGTCTGAGTACATGCTTTGTGGCTCCACTCGGGTCCTTCATCGTGTGGTTGACATAATTGTCGGGCGGTGGACATTGCTGAGTTATCAGATGCGTCATGTGTCTGAGTCGAGACTTTGCCGTCTGTGTGGTCATCGGTCACAGAATGACAGATGCTTGGAAATGAGGCTGCGGCTGTTTGTGTGAAGCTGAGATTTCAAGATGCTTTACACAAGCAGCAGGTTCATTTAAAATCCATATCATCATGTTGCTCAGAGTCCTTTGCACAGCTCGGTTCAATGGTTTTCAGTCAGACTTCTTCTTTCTTCTGTCTCTACTTTATTATTTCAGTCAGATCAAGTTGGAAGAAAAGACTCATTCACCACAGGAGCTAAATTAATGCACAAGATGGATTTTTGTGCCTTTTCACTTGTTTCATATACTTTCTTGTTTCTCTCCTGTTTTTCTTTTCTTTTTTTCTTTCCCTGCCTTTTCAGCCTTCGTCAGTGCATGTGTGCTCTTACATCACTGCTCCTCCACCTCGCCATTAAAAAGCACTTTCTCTGCCTCTCTGGATTCTTTCAAGGCGCCTTTTCGATTTGCATGAGAAGCAGCTGGGAATGGGCCCCCTTCCCGTTTTCCTCCCTTTGTCCCAGCGTTCTTTTATTCCAAAGTCTCATCACTTATGCCCCTTCCTCGCTTTGTGCTGTGCATTATATAAGACGGCTGCATTACTAAACACCGGCCAATCATTTAGCCAAGATGCTCGTGGTGTTGGGCACAGAACTTATTTTCCACAGCAGACGTAACTTCCCCGCCCTGTCCTGGACGTATGTGAGCAAAGTTTGAAATAAGTTTTGGTTGAAATCTGAAACAGATTGTTCCGTTTCCAGACCAAAACACATGGGATTGTGATTCAATTGGATGCACTCAGAGAAAGGCAGAGGGGTTTTAATAGAGCAGGGTGAAAAATGTTCTGTAGACATTATTAATGAGGCCACTGAAGCGAGCCTTAATGTATTTATCTGCACTAACAGAGTCTTTCAGCTCCAGAGCTTTAGGTTGTTTGGCCTCACTGAGGAGACTACATCTATATTTACCTGGGTGCCGCTCTGCAACAGGCTTTAAACTTGAAAGTTAGGTAACAATTACCACGAAGTCACTCCATGGCAACAAAAGATCAACAGCTTAACTCTGCAAACGGCCACTTGTAAGGACTGTGTAGTGTTTCTGCAGCTGCAGCGTTCGCAGCGTCCACAGGGGGCGTTCTGACCTTTGACACTTGGTCTTGACGCACAACAAATCCTGTTAGATGTGACTCTCTGTGACGGCCTGAGCTCAGCATGAGGGGAGGAATCTGCAGGGGTTCTTCAGACGGATCATTAGAGGCAGTCGATGACACAGAGGTTTCTGTAAAATGTGTGCGTGTACTTGTTTCTGCTGCCGCTTTTTTTACAGCATGAACACTGACCTTGTCAGGACCAGTAGACCTCAAGGTCCTAATGAGGCTAAACATCATTTCTAGGTCCTGCGAGGTTTAAGGTTCAAGGGATAGTACACTCGAAAACGAAAATGTTGTTTGTGTGTTTGAGAGAAAGCAAGATTCACGAAGAAGATTTATTGGGAAAAATACGTTTTTTTTAATATTGAAGATCAGAATGAACTGATGAAGTTAACTTTCACTCATGATGCAAAAATCCGATCATCCAAAAAAATACAGTAAAATATAATATTTCAAGTTCATCTGATATGTATATTTGTTTCTTTATAGCAAAAGCATAAAAAAATTAAAAATCCTCACAATTACTTTGTGATTCATGTTCCAACGTGGACTTTATTTAAATCATTATATTGGTTGAAGCGAAAAAGACAAATGGAGTGAGGCTTCTCAAACAGGATGTCTTCAAAATAAAAGTACAGCGTAGTATCAAAAGAAAATCTCATTCTGCTTCACAGGATCAAATCCCTGCTCCTTGTGAACGCAGGTCACAGCAGGTTGATCTTCACAGTCCACCATCGTCCTGTAACGGGACACAAGTCAGGTGTCAATTTCATGTTTAGACAGGAAGCAAGTTCAGATGACTGACAGAGTCTGTAAATAAATGTGCGTGTCATGTTAATGTGTAGTAAACGTTGGCTGATGTGTCGATTTACTGAGAAACGAGTGGAACAAATCCTGCTCAACATTAAATAATGTGTTGGATGTTTAGGTGTTTGTAAAAATCCTAGAAATTAACATCATATTATTATGTAATTTACTTTAAACCTCATTTGTTTAATCCATTAAAAATGGCAAAAAAAATGACATAATGTGTTTTTAAGTGTATTTTCCATCCATAATGTTTTCTGTAGTGGACTTCCTCTTATAGGTGGGAGACATTTTCCTGTGTCGTGGCCTAACAGGCTACAATCCCACTAAAGCCATTCAGTCAATCTGCCCACTTCCGTGCACCCACATTATCAACACAGGATCAAAACTCTGCCCTTTCCTGTTTTCCATTACCTAGCTCACTTCCTACACCAGTACAGAACTCTCAGGTTGGTGTGTTCCAGTTTGATAAAAGTGTGTAACATGTTATTGCTTCCCCCTTTGCATGTATCTCTTCAATTTACAGGATTAAATTTTTCCTTTTCCATCTTTTCTTTCAGGATCTGTTTACTCACATCTTTGCTTTCGCGGCAGTCTCCGCACATGCACCCTAAGCAGCCGTTGACCACCTGGATGCCGCAGAGCACGAGCTGCAGCAGACCCATGGACAGCAGGATGGAGAAGAGCACGACGTGCCACATCACTGCGTTGGCAGGGGCCTCGCAGATCGTCCACAGGGTCTGGTTCACGAGGTAGCTGGTGTTGCTGAGAGGGAGAACAGCCAGAGCATAAGCATTGTACAGGACACACACACACACACACACAGATTAAATAAAAATATGTGCAGAGTTTGGGGGTGCAGGAGGAAAAAGATGGAATGACTGAGTTGAAGAAAAATGTTGGATGTAAATGGGAAAAAATGAGGGGAGGAGGAGGAAAGCGGATGGAAAACAAAAAGGAAAAGAGTTTAAAATGATCATTTAAATAGTTTGACATTCTGGGAACACTTGAGTTTGATGCTCGTGTGTGTGACTCTCGTGTTTGGAACAGTTACCATGCTCTTTGTCCAAAGTAACAAAATCACTGCACCTTTAATGGTCACCAATTAACATATTATATTGTGATTGTTTAACCTGTAAAATAACTGGAGTGTAAATTTGCACGTTTTGCTGTTTTTGGACTAAGCCAGGTTAAGATAAGTAGAAAAACAAAAACTGAGCTTTGCTGTAGGAAGAACACTCAGGTTTAAAATAAATATCCCATCATGCAATGTGTTGTCAATCTCAGATCCCTCGCTGTGAACAGCAGCCTACATATTAACCACACGCTCATATCTATTAACCTGATGGTTCGTCTATCAGGTGATTCACTGTTATCCTGCGCGAGCTTGTGAAATGTCTCATTGGGGCCAAACACGTTATCGCTGTGGCTCTGCCCCATTTTAGATCAGTCAGGAAGAAGATGAAATATATCAAGACTGAATATTTAATCAAAGAATCATAATAACCACAATATGTTGCCTGATAACATAATGCCTGTTTTTGCTTCTATCTTGATATTTTATTATTTATTTAATATAACAATCGTTTCTTCTCGATCATTTGGCCAAAGGTTTGTTGTTATTTATTTATTCACATATTAAAAATAGATTTTATTTGCAGCAACACTCTGAAATTAATTCTCCTTCTGACTCATTTTGCTGCAATGACACAAACAGAATAGGTTGCCTCAGTCTGCCACCTACTGGACTGTAGGAGTATTACATGTCTAGTTTTTCTTTTTCTTAATGATCATAAATCATAACTGTTTCACTTCTCAAAGAAACATACAGACGCTGCCTGTGGGGCGGGGTCCACTCAGTGGTCTCAGACCTTTTGACTGCACTGCAGCTGATGATAAGATAACACATATCTACACAGAATCTATGAGGAGGTGCAGCAAAGGGAGATATGACAGTATGCAGGGGGAAAAAAGCACATTTGAAACTACAGTGAAGTGAAGAACACTCACGTGCCGAGGTTTTCGAAAGGGTACTTCCATTCACCTTCGACCAGACACTTGGGTCCGATAGCGAGACCTGCCGAGGACACACTGGTGCAGTAGATGGCTCCGATCAGGCCGAAGGCAGAGGAGAACACTGAGCTCAACATCTGAAGGGAAGACGAGAACAAACATCACTATTTCACTGCTGATAAAGGACGTTACTTTACATCTATTAGCTTCAGCACTGTAAAAGTTCTACCTTCTGTATTCTATCTTATATGACATTAGTGTTCTTCACTCATTTCTCAGTTGATTTGTCTCATATTCAAGATTCAAAGTTCTTTGTGGTCATTGCACTCAAGTGTTGTAGGTATATTAAGATATATATTTATATGTAAGTGTAAGAATATAAAAAATATAGATGTTACTTGGCAGCAGAGATTGAACTCGATCTGATTCCTTATCATAGATGATGTCATCAAGGGGACATTGAAAGTCTTGCTCACCGAATTCGCCTTGTCCAAATATTTCTTGATTTATTCAACTATCATTTTAAAGGGTTAAAAGTGTTTCTGTATGATTTCACTTGACCCAATGTCATGGGCCTAAATTCAACTTTTATATTATATATAATTATCACTCAGCCAAACTGTAATATAAATACAAATACCTTCTGTCTTGACTTGATGTGATTTCAAACAGTAAACACACTCACATGCATCTTTTCTCATTGTAATAATGTCAGAATAATAAAAACTGTACTTCTGCAAAACCTAATGACTTTAAACGATGTTTTTAAAATGTGGAAGTGTCCTGATAAAGTGCCTCAGGACAGTAAATCCTTTAATAACGAGTGCACTGCTGATAAAATACACATGATTCAACTTTGTCCTTTGCTCCTCTATATGGCATCTCCTTCGCCACCACCCATCACTATCAGGCCAGTCCCCAACAGCGCCTATACATCTATATATTAAAATCTTTACAACGACTTTACTCACCCGGCAACGGTTGCCACAGCAACCAGTTCCGCAGCAACCCTTGCCCCCGGCCCTGATAGCCGAGCAGCTCGGACACAGCATCTGAGGAGTTGAAGATAAGAAACGAGGCATCATCTGATAAGTTTGATTCTCTGTAAAGCTCTTGATGTGCAGATTTGGTGTGTTTGTATCTATACATGCACACTTGTACATGCGTCAGCCAATTTTTATTTCCGTGTGTGTCTCTCTCTGAGCGCTGGCTTATCTCTAAAACCAAATATTTGTGAAGAGTTTTACTTTCTCCTCCCAGCAGGCTTTGACATCCGTGTCGATAGAAATATACTTGTCCCTGATCCAAACTATTATGTCACAGCAATAAAGACATGTCCTCCCACTGGACTCAAAGGTCTCTGATACAGTTATGAAATTGAATATTTATCAATTATTTATTTATATTAGTGATATATTTATTGCCCATTGTCCAATAGAATGTCATGAAAGTGTGAATGGAAACTGTTTGTGTGTGTGTGTGTGTGTGTGTGTGTGTGTCTTTGATGATGAGGTGCAGGGGATCATTCAGTGTTTTCCCTCAAAGGTTCTCCCCAGTGTAATCAGTAACAGAAAATACCATTATTTATTGTGTTGTAGTTGTATTTTAATCTCATTTGTGTTCATGGTGGAGATCATTTGATCTATTTTTTATATGTTGGGTAGATTTATTGTATGTGTCATATTTTATTAGCACACTTATTAATTTTTTTATAGCTGGTAAATAAATGTAATGGAGTATTTCTCTGTGAACTGTTATATAAAGTGAGAAAAATGTGAAAACTACAGTAGAATTGTACTTGTGATAGTTCATATACTTTGTTTTTTGTCTGCTTGTGTCAAAGTGAAGGTTGAGTTTAAATCTCAATGTAAAGATATAAATGCATGTACATGTTCTTTCTTGGTTTTTCATTTTAAATAAAACCTCTTTATCATAGGTATCGTTATAGTCCACAAGTCAAAACCCAGATAAGGGAATAGTTACGAGAAAGATTCTGATAAATGCACTCTGATGAAATACAACAATTTCATTTCAGACACCAAAAATAATACTCAATAAAACGTACTCGTAAAAGTAATCAATAAAAAGTTTACAGGTTTACACAAGGCTGAGTGAATGACTGAAAAAACCCAATAAAACATATGACCACACTCCATTACTCACAAAGAGGCCTCCTCCGATCAGCCCCCCCATGAGCCAGACCTGGAGGGAGATCTGGTCGTTCTCCAGACTCTTCCCATCGGGGAAGAACAGCAGCAGGTTGGCGATCATGCAGATGAAGGCGGTGGGCAGGAGGATCAGGCCCACCAGGCGAGCGCACTTCCCCGTACAACACATGGTTTCACACCTGTCTTCTCTCGCTCACTGCTCCCTGTCCCTTTTTCTACTCTTACTGCCAGTTATCTCCCCGTCTTCTGAAAGTCGGGCAGAAGTCGACGGTGGAAATGAGTGAGAGAGAGAGGAAGGGGGGGGAGGCTCAGGACTGACAGCTCACCTTCGCTCACTGTGAAAGTCAAACACCAGCAGCGACAAAACAGGGAGGAGAGAGGGAACAAAGGCCGAGCATTGGTGCGGTCGACTGTAATCTGATTTCAGAGTCGTGTGTCGTCTCATTGGACTCAGATAAAGAATATCAACCTGTTTTTAATTTAATGGGAAAATTATAAAAGAAAACAAACATTGAGAGCAAAGGTGAAAAGGTCAAGACTTGGTTTGTTAAGGTTCAGGCTTGAGTCTGGGTTTTAGATGCGATGTTTGAGGTCAGGATAAGAGACCAGGGAATCCATGACGTCAACAGGTGCCCTCACAAACACGGAAGTTCAAAATGTGTGTGTGTGTGTGTGTGTGTGTGTGTGTGTGTGTGTGTGTGTGTGTGTGTGTGTGTGT